GAATGAAGTCATAAAGCCAGGCTGCTGGGAGTGGGGACTGGGCTGGGGGGAACAGGGCCCCTGGAAGCCAGGCTGGCCTGGCAGGAGTGCCCACTCCTTGCCCACTGGAAGAAAACTGGCATTGGGGACTGTGGTAACCCTCCCTGCTCTTCTTGCTGGCTCTGGTCTCCCTGTCACATGTCAGGCCTGAAGGGAGGTGGCCCACGTCCGGCCAGACTGCCAGCCCCAAGCCTGTTTCCTTCCCCTGGTCTTGGAGGCTGACCCTTTGTTGAGTCCGTTTCCTGCAGCTTCTTTGGGGAGTGCAGGGAAGCCCTTCTAGGGCTTGTGTGCTTGGGACCAGCAGTGCCTGCCTGGGAGGGCCAGCCTTGGCCCAGGCTGGCGGTGGTGCCAAGCCTGGTGGACGAAAGCAGCTCAGTGTTTGGGAGCAGGAACTGGCAGATCCTTAGGGTGGAGAACTGGGCAGGCCAGTCGCTGCTGCTCTAGTGAACGGGGGTGTGCGTGTAGGTGGCAGGTCGTGGTCGGGGATGCAGTACATGCCGGGCTGGGTGCCTGGGGTCCAGGACAGGAAGGTGCATGTTCCCAGGGGTGGGACAGGGCTTCCCTCAGGTGGAGGATGAGGTGAGGCATTCAGGCAGGAGAGAGCCTTGGAGGTGAGAGGAAGACTGTTCTGAGAACAGCCGAGGAGTACAAGTCAGCAGGGAAGTGGAGGAGAATGTTGCGGCGTTTTCTGTGACAGGGCAGCCATTGCAAGGTGCAGGACAAGAGGAGATAGGATTCAAGTTGTGTTTTAAGATGGTCCCTGGCAGAGAAGAGAATCAGCTTTGGGGCGAGAGGGGGGCCGGTGCCTTTGAGCAGGTGAGAGGCGGCTGGGCCAGGGCAGCCTCTGGGGAGCAGAGGGAGGTGATGAAGGGCGAGCCTGGGTCTGGGGCGCCAGCGAGTGAGAGGCAAGCCCTTGGTGCTGGGGACGGGTGGGGGCGGCACTCAGGCCATCAGAGCAAGCACCTGGGTGGGGAGGAGTCCTGGATCGCACCACATTGGCCCTCTGCAGGGAGTGGGCAGCAGTCCTGTTGGGACCTGGCACGGCACCTTGCTTGCCTCTTCACGCTGCCTTTTGCATCTGGAAACAACAAGAACGTCCTTTTCGGGGCCTGTGTGGATTTTTGATTTGGAAAAGGTGGCGTCCTAGACATGTCTCCTTCGGAACTTGGGAAGCCCTGATGTTCACTTGCCGTCCCGCACGGGAATCTGGGCCCACAGGGAGCTGCCAGGACAGGCAGCTGTGTGTAAACTTATTTTTTAAAACCCTATTCTTTCTTTTTTTTTTTTTTTGAGACAGAGTCTCACTCTGTTACCTGGGCCAGAGTGCTGTGGCGTCATCCTAGCTCACAGCAACCTCAAACTCCTGGGCTCAAGCGATCCTCCTGCCTCAGCCTCCCGAAGAGCTGGGACTACAGACATACGCCACCATGCCCGGCTAATTTTTTCTATGTATTTTTAGTTGTCCGATTAATTTCTTTCTATTTTTAGTAGAGACGGGATCTCGCTCTTGCTCAGGCTGGTTTCGAACTCCTGAGCTCAAACAATCCACCCTCCTCGGCCTCCCAGAGAGCTAGGATTACAGGTGTGAGCCACCGCGCCTGGCCAAAACCCTATTCTTTCTTCAATAATAAATTAAGTTTAGCTTACTATAACTTTTTTACCTTATACACTTTTAATTTTTTTTTAGCTTTTTGACTGTTTTATAATAACCCTTAGGTTAAAACACAAACACATTGTGCAGCTGTATGAAAGTATTTTCTCTTTATATCCTTATTCTATAAGTCTTTTTTCTATTTAAAAAAATTGTTTTTGCTTTTTAAACTTTTTGTTAAAAATGAAGACACAAACACACACATTAGCCTAGCCCTACACAGGTTCAGGATCATCAATATCACTGTCTTCCGCCTCCATATCATGTCCCACTGGAAGGTCATGATGGAGCCGTCATCTCCTATGAGAACAATGCCTTGTTCTGGAATACCTCCTGAAGGACCCTCCTGAGGCTGTTTTATGGTTAACTTTTTTAAAAAAAATAAGTAGAAGGAGTATACTCTCAAATAATGATAAAAAGTATAGTATAGTAAATACATAAACCGGTAACATAATCGTTTATTATCATTGTCAAGTATTGTGTACTATACGTAATTGTATGTGCTGTACTGTTATTATGATTGGCAGGGTAGTAGGTATATGTACACCAGCGTCACCACAAACACGTGAGTAATGTGTTGCACTATGAAGTTATGATGACTATGATGTCAGTAGGCATTAGGAATTTTTCAGCTCTGCTATAATTTTATGGGATCACTGTCATATATGCAGTTCGTCATTGACCAAAAAGTCATGTGGTACATTACTGTGTTAAAAAATGAACCCAAGTTCTAGAAGCTGTAGCATTTTTGAAAACACAAAGATACTTTTAACACAATCAATGCAATAGAATTTTGCTATTCCCAAGATAACTTTGAGATTTATTTTTAAAATTAATTCATAGTATAGATCAGCAGTCAGCAAACAGTCTGTAAAAGGCCAGATAGTAAATAGTTCAGGCTTTGTGGGCCATATAATCTGTCACAACTACTCAACGCTACTGTTGTAGCACCAGAGCAGCTGTTGACAATATGTAAATAAAGGACATGGATATGTTCCAACAAAACTTTACTTATGAAAACGGATGATGGGCTCGATTTGGCCATGAGGCTTACTGATTCAGTAAGGGGACAGAAGTTTAAAGTTGTATGAAAAGCATCTTCATTCACTCCTACCAATGTATTCCTGTGATTGAATGTATAACCGGATTTAGAAATACAGTCCTATCAAAGTTCACTTTGGAGCTTTTCTTTTACTATGTGAATTTTCTATCAAGGGTGATTTTTCTATCCGCTTCAACAGAGATTACCAACATATATACTTAAAGAAAGTGAACTTTAAACACAACTTGGTCATAACAAGATTTTGCAGATGAGACAACCAAGAACCAGCAAGACAAGGGATGTGTCATCCAACACTGTATGTCGCAACAGAGCAGTGACCTCCAAGGTTACTTTCCCTTTCTTGTCAGGCTAACAAAAGCAGACACTTAAATGGATGCTTTTTAATTTCAGGAAAACCACTCCTTCCTCCTTCCCTCCCTCCCTCCCTCCCTTCTTCCTTCCTTCCATCCTCTTTCTCTCTCTTTCTTAAATATAATTTGAACAAACTTGATTTTCTGTTTTCTTTGCAGAAAAGTAGAAATAAATTGAAGGGAAGAAGAAGCAGGGAGAACAGTAACAGAAGCAGAGAAACTCTCTGTACAAAAGGTGACAAAAGAAATGAGAACTTGTAACAGAGAGAATGGCCTGAAGAAAGGTAAAAATGTTTCCTGTCTCTTCAAAACCCCCTCACCCTTTTTGAGAACTAAAACCTACATCCCTGCCTCACGCCAGTGGGCAGGAGGGGCAGGAGAGTGTCCTTTGTTCTTTGTGCCACAGGAGATGGCTCAGGGGAGTTGCCCAGCCAGAGGTCACGAGATTGTTTTAGCCAAAAATGGGATTACAGGATTAATCAGAACCGTTAAAAGCTCTGTACTTCTGCTCCAGGCAGGACGTTGGTACTTTAAAACGGGAGGGTTACGTTCAAGAAAATTGGATTTAAAGAAATAGAAAAAAATAAAATAAAATAAAATGGGAGTCTGCCAACCTCCTAATTTGCTGGCAAATTGATAAACTCCTCTTTCCTTCTCAAGAAAAAAAAAATTCAATTTGAGGCCTTTTCTCAATGGAAAGCCTAGGCCAAAAGAGCAGAATTCTATCCTCACGTTGTGCTAAGTCCAGCAGGTTGGTTAGGTGTACAGGTTGGTTAAGCCGGTTGAGTAGACTGTAGCAAGTTATTAAGCTTCTGAGCCTTGGTTTCCTTGTCTGGAACTGCGGATAACAATTTCATCCAAGTAGTGTTGTTAGAAGTGTTAAGTGAAGTAATGTCTTCTATAAAGGGTAAGATCAGTACACCAGATGTACACAGAGGGTTTCTGCCTGCATGAAAGGAGAGAAGGGCAATGTGACAGTTCTGCTAGAGTCTAGCTGCTAGACTAAGCTGAGAAGTTTCTGCTTGGACAGTTTCAAAGTTCTTAGTCACATGTAGACAGTTAGAGAACCT